GGCTGGCTGATCTCATCTACCGAATTCGTCGTTTCGCGAGGAATCATCTGTGCCGGCACAGAATCAGGACATACTTTTCGCGCGAACTTGAGAATCCAACTATCCGAGTACTCCTCACTCTCGTTGTGTGGAGACCGGTTACGCATCCTTCGCGCCGCATTCCAAAGCGTATTCATCGACGTTTCGCGCGATAATCCGTCCACGAATTGCCGCCAGTATCCGCGTTTCTTGGCTTTGATGAGGCTCTTGAGTTCGCGTTCAAGAGCCGAGTACGCTTCGAAATGTACGGGTGTTCCACGTTTCCGGAAAAGCTTAAACGCGTCGGACTTTTTACGATAAACCTCAGTGCATTGCTGGTCCCACCAAGGGGAAGGAGGTTTCCTACGGAAAGACGTTCCTGGAACCGGCCGAGTTTGAGCTTGAAGCGCGCTGTCCAAGATCAGATTGGAGAGGAAGTTATATTCCTCCAACGGTGGAAGCCCTTCTACCGACGTAAGGGCATCTTCTATCACATTCTTGAACTTTGTCCAATCGATATTACGGATAAGATCGTACGCGACTTTAACGGGTTCCGACGGATTGAACCCACTGGCAACTGAAACTTTGATCGGCAAGTGATCACTACCGTGGGGATCTTGGATCACATTCCACGTGCAATCCAACGATAATGAGTTAGAGCAAAGTGTGAGGTCTAATCTACTTCCATTCGAGGATGGGCCAGCCAAACGTGTTACTTCTCCATTGTTAAGAATTGTCATATTAAAGCTGTCGCAGATGTCATATATCAAAGTAGAACGGTTGTCATCATACAGTTCCCCCCAGCCTGTACCGTGGGAATTCAAATCTCCCATAATCAACCGTGGAGCAGGAAGTACCGAATAGATATCTGAAAGTTGTTTGCGATTAACAACGGCTCTAGGAGGAATATAAACAGAAGCAATACAAAGGCTCTTACCTTTAATAATAGCCTGACATGCAACAACTTCAATACCTGTAAATTGTGGAAGATTCACTCTATAGAAGGAATGGTACTTTTTGATCCCCAAAAGTACCCCTCCTCCACGCGAATCCTCACGATCCAGTCGAATAATGTTAAAATCATAAAAAGGAAGATCGATATCTAAGAGAGCCAAGTTTCACAAACAGCAAATGCATCACAATCATTATTGTGAACTAAAAACTTAAAAGAATCTAATTTAGGAATGAGACTTCGACAATTCCACTGTAGAACAGTGATCAAATCCCCGACCTCGTTTGGAAAATTATCCATCGAAGGAAATGATTGCTGCAATGAGGGGCCACTTCAATGTTAATTGCTTCAAGAGGGTCTTCACAGAAGGAAGCATTGCCAGAACAATGCTTTTGAGAGGATCAGAAATATTGAGGTACTTGAGAATATCGTCCACAATTTTATCAAATGAGAACAACCCGGATGAAGAAGGGGCTTCTGTTCTTAAAAATGGGCCATCAGGGGTTTTTGATGTCCCCGGGAGAGATGGAAAGTTCTGGTTATAGTCAGTTCTGCGGAAACCAGGAGGAGTTGAAACTTCCTTTTTTCCATCACTCCTTGATTTGGGCAAGCTGATTTGGGGTTCCTTATCTGCAACTTTCCGCGAACGGATGCGTTTTCGTTTCCGTGCAGAACCTTCCGGAAAACTGAAAGAAACTCCCTCCTCAGCCAAGTCAGAGTCAGACTCGTCATCAGACAAAACAGCAAAGGGATTTTTGTCGTTGGTTGATGGTGTGGCTGTTTTTAGCATTGCTGCAAAAGACTACCTGGAACGCTCCTTAAGAGAGCGTTCTAGTTTCTCCCCGCGTTGTTTGTACGCCGGGCACGATGAGAGACCATGAGGAGTTCCCTTACAGTACACGCATTTTGGTGCAGTGACTGTGCAGGCGCCATCCTCGTGCTTCTCCCCGCATTTAGAACAGCGTGCCTTGCTGCCACAGTGAGAGGCCGTATGTCCCAACTGTTTGCAGTTTTGGCAGTTCATGACCCGAGGAACAAACAAACGCACAGGTAGCCGAAGTTTTCCCAACTCGATGTAGTGAGGAAGGGCTGAACCAGAAAAGGTCACTCGAAACGAGTCTGTGGGGGTAAAGCTCTTTTTACCCTCGCTGAAAGATACTGAGTTCAGCTTCTGGACTTCCAGTATCTCAACCGTGGGAAGCAAGGGGTTTTTGAAACGGCCAACCGCTTGCTTCGCCAAGATCTCGGGGGTCAGACTCGCTTCGGTGACCACACCTTCGATCTCCACATTACGAGCTGGGATGTACACTCTATACTCGAGTGTAAAGAGCTGGGAGGCAGCAATCTCGTTAGCTTGTTTCAGGTTAGAGACGACAACGCGAAGTTTATTGTACCTCACCTTCGAGATTTCGGTCACGGCCGAGAACCGCTTCGTCAGATCATTAGTAATTTGCATTACATTCAAAGGTTTCTTTTTGGGCTGAAAGTAAACAACCCATGGGCCAGTCGAGTCTTCTGGGTAGGCTCACGATCGGGGGCTTATCTGTCCCTGTCCATTACCAGACTGAGATGACGAACCAGGGATGACATCATCTGATTTCTGGGATGACAGACGTTTTCGACCCTTCTTGCTATCGCGTGGCAAAGTGGTGTCATCTTCCGACAAAACGTCCATTTCGTCTTCCGACAAAATGTCCATTTTGCCGTACTAGTGGGAGCGAAAAACGCTCTACCACTGCAACGATAATCAAAATTACTCGGACACAATACACGAGAAAAAAAATACAAACACAGAAACACAAACTTAAAATTTAACTGATGGGAGAAAGGAAGAAACAAGAACAAAAACTTATCTGATAATCCTATACTACTACCACCGAGCGTTTACACAGCAGCAGCGGAGCGATGCGCAGCTTTGATGATCTTCGATCCGCGTGTGCGGGCGGTTTTCGTTGATGTGTGCTTGTATGAAGCTCGGCACTCAGCTGAACACACGAGATGGATGAGCGGTTTGAATGTGGAGGCAGATGCTGACACTCGATGACGATGATCCGTGTGCACAGGTATGCGTGACCACGCACCGATGGTGCGCAAAATGATTGGCGAATTGCCAATCGCAAAAACAATTTTCGATGATGCCGAAAACACTTTCTTCTCAGAAAAAAACTCACTTTTTGATAAATTTATCAGGAATTATGCCAGGAATCACTAAGCGAGAAAAACTGATTATTACGTCAGATAATAGCGAGAAAACTTCCAAATTAACGGAGCGCGTAACAAGTCGACCGTACTTCTTGCTAGGACGCAGTGAGATGTGAGCGCTCGACTTTGGTAGTTTTCTCTTTCATGAAACACATCAACAGAGGTTTCATGACGTATATGACGGAAAATGAAATAACACATTTAAAGCATTTTTCACATGAAAACACTTGAAGATTACAAGTAATATGTTTAATTTATCTTCCATCCACATATTTATCTAAAAAAAATAACGAAAACGGGACATAACGCATTTTAAACAGACTGAAAGAGCGGTGATAGAGTGTTCGTGAAATGGGATTGAAAGCCATAATGAGGTTTCGTTTAACTATAACATCGACATTACACAGCAAAAAAATAATTTTGATATCACATCAAAGTGGATGCACTACAATCATGTCGAAAATTTCATGTAATTTTTATGACCACATAAATAAACAAATGCAGTAAAAGCAGCGTAATGTCAGTTCATGCATTGTATTAATGATAATTTTGTCCTTTTTAGCAAGTAATATTACACCATATTTTCGACATGATTGTAGTGCATCCACTTTGACGTGATATCAAAATTATTTTTTTGCTGTGTACTTACATTGAAAGCGATGAGCAAAGCAACGACGAGAAGATCCACGACCAGCGTTTCCTTCTAAGCGTGCTTGTTTTTCAATATCATTTCTTGCTGTTAGTCTAGCTAGGCGTTATAGAAATAAAGCGTTGAACATGTTTGTATGAGAGAAACAAAAGTGGAGTTCATTTTAGAGCTTCGAAAATGTAGAGCCCTGCTACCAACTTTGTGACCAAAGGTTGACTTTTCGAAGTGATTTTATTGAAGTTTGACTTAGTTTCATGCTCGAAAATATCTTAGAAAGTGAAAAAAAAAATAAAGTATTTGTTCTACGAACTATCCACTCATATGATAAAAAAAAATGTGTAGTCTACGGCATAATGTTCCTTATACTGTTCTAGAAATTTTGTTCAAAAATAGTTTTCGTGCAGATTTCATAGATTGAGCGATAAAAATCAGAAGAGAGGCCGTTATAGCTAAAATTCACAAGGCAACAGAGCCAATAAAAGTTTCAATTAAATTGACAGAACATAGTTCCACTGCTTTTCGGTGCCGGCTGGGGTATGAGTAACCATGGGGAAGATTGGGTAACCAACCCCGGTGGGACCTTGGTCGTATGCTGACAGGGAATGGGGGGCGGCTCCTCTCTCCGGAGAGTGCAGTCTTCGAGCGTCTGTTCACCATGGAGGTGCGGCTCAAAACGGCGTCTGTTCGTCGTGTAAGGAGCGGCTGCTCAACGTCCTGGTGCCAGCGTGGGACTTTAAACAGTGCTGTGCACGATGGTCCCCCGGCGAGACAGTGGGAGTTGGTGCAGGCTCTACAAACCAGCCGTAAAAAAAAAACAAAAGTACAGGAAGCAAGCAATGTAAGTACAGACCGGAACAATCGGCATAGACCCAAGCAACGGAAACGGACTAACGATTGGAAACTCGGAACATGGAACTGCAAGTCTCTCAATTTTTTGGGAAGTACCCGCATGCTTTCCTATTTATTGAGAATCCGCAAGTTTGACATCGTAGCGCTGCAGGAAGTTTGCTGGAAGGGATCGTCGGTACATACGTATAGGGATGGTTATACCATCTACCAGAGCCGCGGCAATACACATGAGCTGGGTACAGCTTTCATCGTGATGGGTGAAATGCAGAAGCGCGTGATTAGGTGGTGGCCAATCGATAGGAGAATGTGCAAGTTGAGGATCAAATAATCAACGTGCACAGCTCTCACTTAGCAAGTGAGGATAACGATAAAAAAGACGCTTTCTACGCGCAGCTGGAACGGGAATACGACAGCTGACCAAGCCATGACGTCAAAATCGTCATCGGAGATCTTAACGCTCAGGTCGGCCAGAAGGAGGAATTCAGACCGGCTATAGGAAAGTTCAGCGCTCACCAGCTAACGAACGCCAACGGCCTTAGACTCATCGATTTCGCCACCACTAAGAACATGGCCATACGTAGTACCTTCTTCCAGCATAGCCTCCCATATCGGTACACCTGGAGGTCACCGCAGCAGACAGAATCGCAAATCGACCGCTGGTTTTGCTCCTCCTTTTTTGACAACATTAGAAGGAGAAAAGGATACAAACTATTAAAAAGTAGGTAAAAGTGAACTTGGGTACTTTTTTCTTACCGTGTACAGTGAATTTGGTTTAAATTGTACCAAGTGATTAAATTGTGTTGGAGTGTTCGACTGTGAGGTTTTACAATAATCAGTTTCGGCTTGGCAGTCTGGCAATTACTCAATCAAAACAAATCAGAGCCGAAACGTAGGGACAAATTACAACATTAGTTTGTTCTGATTGAGTGATTGCCAGACTGCCAAGCTGAAACTGATTATTGCAAGTGATTAAATATAAAATTTATGGAAGAATTTAATTTCGGCTCAGCATTTTTCGGAAACTACCTACTTGTAATGTTGGATGATGTGTAAAGATTCAACAGTCTTACTTTGATGAAATAACTGCTTAGTTAAAAAAATATAAATGAAATGGGTTCTACTGAGAGTCATCCATAGTGAGTGTAAAAATATTTTGTTTTGACATTTTTTTTTTTGCTTTTTCTTTTATTGTAGGAGTACAATAATGAAACTGAAACTTCTCGTTTGCTACAGTGCAACAAACAAGGAATTTGTGTTGATTTGTGCTCTAGGAAACTTGAAGTGATATGACGGTCATTGTTGGACTCTTCAAGGAATCACCTTAATGAAGTTGAACAATCATATTTACTCAAATAATCGAAGCTTCAAAAGAAATCGTATCAAATCTTATATCTTACGATCAAGCGGATGATTTTGATTGACCCTGTCTGGAGAAATTTTGAAAAAAAAAAAATGATTTTGTGAAAGGAAATGATTATAAATAAAATTCATGACCATTCCAAAAAAATCCTGTGAAGATTTCTATTCGAATTTCAAACTTATACAAACTTTGATCCATTCGGCTCAATCACATTCGGTTTTATTCCTGAAAAAACGGGGACTAGCTAATCGGAATTTGATGCATACATTTTTTTTTTTATAAATATTGAAGCAGAAATTTATATTTCGGTTAAATTGCTCATTTGATACAGCGACCCCTTCAGCCTAATCCCACTCGGCCTAATCTCATTCGGCCTTATCACTTTCGGCCTAATCCCATTCGACATAATCACATTCGGCCTAATAGCATTCAACATAATAGCGTTCGTCCTAATGATAATCAGCCTGTTGGCATTTGTCCTAATCCTCCATGTTAAAACAAAAGTTTGCCCCCCCCTCCTCTTCTCCTATTTTGAAGCCTGGCTACGCCCCTGATCAGATCTCACCATGGTTGGCTTAATGCAGGTTGTTAATATATTATCTAAATATGTTTTATTCTTTCACATGAACAAGTTGTGCTTTGATGTATAATCATCATGAATATAAAGCTACATAATTTCGATTAAAAGATCTGAAACCGCTCCATTCATAATCTCCAGCGGTGGTCTGCCACCTGTAATTAAAGTCCTCATTTGAGCGCACGCACATACACAAACGAACTTCTAAGCAAGCTTACTCCCTAACCAGCGCTGGGACCGAAGACAGGTGCCGAAGATCTTCTCCACCGGCATTCTGCAGAAGCTCCAATGCATTATTAATACTGTTTTCATCGGTAGTAGTAGCAGTAGTAGTAGTAGTAGTAGTAGAAGCAGCAACAGCACCGGCAGTTAGATTGTTGATGGAATTGAGGATTATACTTCGTTAGCTGCTCCGTCTCATCATCCCTCCCTCCGGTCCAAGTAGCAACGCTCGAATAGAAGAAGCAAAGCTCAGAAGGATCAGAATTATTCCAACGAACTGTGTACCTTCTGGTGGTAAGGTACTTTCCCGATGATGATGACGATGGTTGCAACTTTTCTGGTTTTCACCGTAGGTTGGATGCTGCTGGCTGGTACTAAGAGATCCGGTACAGAGAAATGTAATTAAAAATACATCCTTGCTTCCAGCTCTACGGAGACCGGCTGCTGGATGTTTCTTCGACTTCCGATCGCTGCTGTTGCCTACATGATGGCGATATTAAGGAAAGTCGTAATTCGAGGAACGCGTTTCTGGGCCGAAAATTGAACGGTTTTGTTCAACTGTTGGAGAGATTTAGGGAGCGATCGCCTCAGTGAATTAATTTCACGTAATGGCAATGTTTCACAGTGTGGAGAATGATGCCCCTCAAAAGTCTTAGTTAAGGACCACCTCTTCATCAACGACTTGGCTGTTGCCTGAAGAGGCATGCATAACGAGCAAACAAATATGACATGTTTACCTTAGGTAAGGAGTGATAACGACTTCTACCGTGCCTTCCTGCTTTGGCATAGAGCTCCTTCTGTGGTACGTAAATTGAAACGTTGGAATGTGGATTTTCAAAATTGTTTCTCCCGAGAGTGATGAGTACCTCCTACAACCATACCCGGCAAATGTATGTTTGTCTATCAAGTTTATTCTTCATTGAATCTGCAGCTTGTGTACTGCGGTCGATGAGAAGCTTTTGAACAGACTTGAAACGATACGAATTATTATACATAATTAATCAACAAGCCCGCTAATTTGCATTTTTACCAAATGAGGCTGATATACATACGTCCAATGTAAATTCTGCAAGTCCTATCACGTGGGTATAACATTTGTTTATACCAACGATCAGATAAAAGTTGTTTACCAATCTCACCACGAGGCATTACGTTAAACATTAGAATTTTTTAATTATTATCATTGTCTTTATTAAAGCGACTTTAGGCCGTAGGCTGCTTCGTCTCTGGTAGTTATTAACCATGGAGATGGTATCTAACGATAAATGCTAAAATTTCAGCTCAATTCAATTGAACTTCATCCGCCAACAGCCCGAATCTACAACCCTTTCCATGGCTAAGCAATCAATTTGCCTCTCTAATTGAACCCAAGCGGTTTCCAGTCCGGTTCCCTGCTGCGATCCTGGGCTTAGCTCCCAGAAAGAAAAACATTACATCAACCATTTATCCCCCGGGGCTGGTTGGTCTGGTGGAAAAGTGAAAAACTTTTAACCAAACCCCCGGAAAATCCTGGCTTGGCCCCAAATTACCGGCCCGATTTTCGAGTTAAACAATCAAAGGCTCGTGGCGGAAAGTTTTGCGCCTCTACTGTTGCTGGTGCGTTGCAATTGAGATTTGTTAGGAAAAGGGCGGACGGGCCTAACGAGCAAATTTTCGTTCTCCCCATTGGCATTCGGAAGGGGGAAAGTGGAGCGTAAATTATTTATCAACTTCCGCCTTGCGTTTAACTTGCTGCTGAGGGTCGGAGAATATCAATCTGAGACGGTTGCAAGATGACACGAATAAACATGAGCAACAAGCTTCTGCTTAAGTGAAACCCGAGCCCCAGTGAAGTGCTGAATATTGCGATGGGCTGTGAGTAATTATGCAGATAATATTTTACAAAGTCATTACTGAACTTGTGCTTCTTGAATGCGGCTGCAGTCTTCCCGTGCTGCGTTGCCGTATGGTGCCTATGTATATATTAATTATTCGTGCATTTTCAGGAATCTGGTTTATATTTTGACATGATGGATTTTGCAAATGAAGTGCTTTCATGCAAACTAAGCTGAGATAAACCTACCTCCGTCTTTGAGCTGAATGATGAGAGGTGAGAACATATTCTAAACTTAGAAAACCGGTTTGTTACCGCAGCTACAGTAACTCGAATATTATGTATCTTGGTCAGTGATGACTGATGGCATAATCCTCACTCAAATGATTTTGTTTCGCTCTCAAGGGCTCCCAATATCACGCATGATATTGGAATAAAATATCAAGCATGATATTGTTTTTCCAGCTCATTTGATATTGCGAGACTATTCAGAACATGTAAAATTGCAGCCACGAGTTGAGTTACCACCAAAATGATTCCGTTGCACATCGTTTTCTTAGAAAGAGAAAGCATTGTTTGCTATCTTTCTTTACGCTTCACAGATGGCAGATACGAAGTTACTGCTGCTAGCAATGATAGAAGTTTCGTTTCGTGTTCGGATGTACAGCAAAAATCTTGAAGCTCACACTAATCACAGCATTCACGAGCATTTTTATTTGCTTTTCTCTATACCGTGTTATTCAAATGGGAGTTTGGTCACGCGTATAACGGTTGATGGTCCCCTGTTTGAAAAATTGTGGGGTTGTGTACAAGACACGACCGCATGGTTGACGTAGACGATGTTGAGATGTTTAGTGAACTTCTCGTGCATTTGTCTTGATATTGATTTAAAATACAGTAGGAGTAACTTATTTCTTAAATTTATTCCATTTCTTCTCATTGACATATCAATTTCCTCACCTTTATTAGTTATTTTTCTGACTGTTTCTGGACTTTCTGTTAGGGATATTTCCGCATATGAAACACTTGTCTTTAATCCTCTGTTATAAAATATATTCCCCGCGTACACTTCAATGCCCATCCCATCTCCGTTGAACATTTGTTATGGATAACACGTTTAACCAAACGTTTGATCGCAGTGGGATACCTCCGGCGGAAATCGTTCACAATCATGTATTGCACATCCCAGCCCAAGTAACATTGTAAGTTTTATTGAAGGTTTAAAGCACTCTACAAGTCTAAATCATGGTATGCAGTTTACTCATAAAACCAAAATTGTTGCTTGGGAGGTAACCAATAAGCCCGCTAATTTGGATTGATTTTGTTATTTAAAACTAAAATACGACTAATACATTATTGGCGCATTATTAGTCGGATTGTTAC